AAAGTAAAGCTCTTTAATGATAGTTGGAAACTTTCTGCTGAGGAAATACAGATATTGCCAAATGTCAACCTGAGAGAAAGAGAATCAGTGTTACTGGATAGCCAGAAGTGGTGATGGGTAGGTTATAAATGTTAGTTTATTTAGTCATCACAATAGATAGTTGATCATTCTACCTCAGTTTCTTCCCATTTTCAAGTCTTTTGCTTCCATAAAACATTTTAATTGAAGAAGTATTCTACTGACAAAACTTAGAAAATCATTGTCCATATACTACCTTTCATTAGAAAGTATACTTCTTGTGCCTTTGCTAAATCATGATGAAAATATAGTACTACCAAGTCATACCTATCTTGAAAGCCTAACCTCATGCAAAGGAATAAATTCTGACTTTGTTTTGCTGTATCTCTTGGAAATATTTTGTGGCACAAACTGGAAGACTTAAGGGAACAGTAGTAGTTTTTTTCCCATCTTTACTCAGAATGAAATACTTAAATTTGTAAGAGGAAGTAGGCTGCAAGATAAAACTGTTTGGTTATATAAATGTTGTAAGAAATGTAATTTAGTTTTAGGGCTGTGATTTTGTACCAGACTGGTGGGGTCTGGAATAAAAAGACCAAAGAACAAACAAAGAGTCCATATTTGCTGGTGAACAACAAAAAGTGTACTATAGTGCTTTGATAGATGTTATAAGTTAAATTGTTCCCTCTCAAAAAGATATGTTGAAGTCCTAACATTTGTTACCTCGGAATGTGAATTTATTTGAACACAGGGTTATACAGAGGTAATCAAGTTAAAATGAGGTCACTAGTGTGGAACTAATCAATATGACTGGTGTCCTTATAAAAAGGGGAAATTTGGGAATGGAAACACACATGTATAAAGGGGGAAAAAAATTAAGAGATACAGGTAAAAGATGGCCAACTACAAGCTAACAAGGCAGTAGAAACTAGGAGAGAGGCCTGGAACAGATCCTTCCCTTGAGCAAGCCCTCAGAATGAACTGACCCCTAGCAAGCTCAGAAAATACATGGGGAAGAAGAACAAAATGATCCCAGTGGTAGGAGGTCAAGCATGACCTCTTCCCTGCCTCTTTGGTTCATCTTGTATCTTTTTACAGTTGACCACCATGTCTGGAAAAGAATAACGAATGAATAAATGAGAAAATGAGCAAACACAAGCAAGAATTAATTTCCAAAAATGAATAAACCTAACCGATGGAGATTTAAACTGGAATTTTAAGGACAGCAGAGGAAATGACAAGATAAACAGATACTAAGCATGGCACTGTATTAGCAAGAAATAATTAGGAAATGTTCAGTAAGTCCCAAAGAAACTAATAAAAGGATAAGAACTATAAAGTGTGGAGTCTAGCATTTTAATTCTAGCCAGGTACTGGTTTAATAAGGAGTCATGATAAAGTCACCAGCCTACTCTTGGCATTGTATTCTTATCTGTAAGGTGGCCGGATTCGCTGATAGATAAAAATCATTCAATTTGTATTCAGTGTTTCAGATGTCTATAAAAAATAAACAAAATGGAAGCAACTCTTTAAGGAAAAGACATATCCACCTTAGATGATCAACAGGACTTGCTAGAATTTTGCCACCCAAGTTGTGGCAATGGAAAAGTCACCAGCCAGAGTCTTTCAATGTACATCTCATCCCATTGCGTCTATGATTATAATTTTCCCCTTAATAATTTATTCAATAAATGTCGAGCACAACGTTGTGCCAGGCACTGTTCTTGGCACTTGGGACTACAGCAGCAAGCAAAGCAAAATTTCTGCTCTTGCAGAGCTTATATTTTATTGGAGAAGAAAGCTGACTTAAATTTAAATATACAATATAATGTACTTAAAAAGTAATATGTAGAAAATGGAGAAATGGAGATATATGGTGATAGGTAAACTTATTTAGAGAACAAAGTAAGAAGACACTCTCTGTGGAGGTGAAATCTGAGCAAACCTGTCCATAGGAGTGAGCCATGCACAGATCTGGAGAGAGAGATCCAGACATGGGTCCTGGTGGGGATGAGGTTGGCACATCCAAAGAACAGCAAGACCAGTGGGTGAAGCAGAGTGAAGAAGGGGGCAAGTGTAGAAAGTGACCAGTGAGGTAGTCAGAAAATCAGAAACCATATTACGTGGGGCCTTGCTAAGAAATTTCTAATATATTCTAAATTTGATGAAACTCTACTGGAGAGTTTAAGCTGTGCAGCCAGCGACATAATCTGATGTACATTTTAGAAAATCACTCTAGGTGCTTAGTTTAGAGAATTGACTGCAGAGAAAGCAAGAGTAGAATGAGCCCAGGGGCTAGTGCACAGTGCAAATAAAAAAATGAATGTGGCTCTGGTTTAAGTTTCTCATAATCAAGGGAAATAAATCCAAACTTTGTAATTTGGCAAATTAGATCCCTTAGAATCTGGCCCTCACTCATATTTCCAGTTGCGTTTATAGTAGACAGTTTTCTCCTTTGCTTTATGTCTATTCATCAGTCCAAGTCTTTGTACATTTTATTCCCTATACATAGAACGTCCTCCCCTTTTCTCCTCATGGTACAACACAGGTCTCGATCTTCATGACTCAGAACCTCTTTGAAACCTCTCCTGATACTTCCATGAAAAAGAGATAGTACAGAATAAAACTCATCTTTTACACTGTATTGTACGTGTCTCTATATTGTTTCAATGCCTACTGAATGGCGTAATTTTTTTCACTTTATTAGTCTATGAAAATTAACAATTTGTAAACTACTGAGCTAAACTATGATATCACTTATTTTTTTTTCAGTACAGCTAACAGTAATCCACATTTATAATTAAGAATTAATTTTATTTACTTTCAAATAGACTCAAAGCATGTCTACACATTTGCTTAGGAACAAATTATAAAATTCACATCTTAGACTCCTAGTATCTAAAGTGTTAAAAACATTATCTGTATATAAAATAGCCTAACTTGTGCATGCAAAACACAATACCTTTGAGTTTGTATACAATTATCCCACATTAAAATATGGATTGAGTTTGACTGAATGGAAGAAGGAACTACTGAATTGTGCTCAATACACCTAGGATTTTTTAGACTTGGAGTATTATTTGGTAATTATACTCAAGTTCTTTTATGATTAAATGGTTCATCAATAATGCTGATACAGTCAGGAATACAACCTATGCAACCCATTGTATCCATTTCCAAATGGATAAATTTCAAAATCCAAAGTAAATACTGCGAGAAAAAAATATTGCTAACTCGAATCTCTTCTTTAATTGAGTTCATTTGAATTAAGAGTACAGGGATATATATTAAGTAAACGGTCAATATGGCAACTGGAAAAGCCTATTCTTTCTAAAGATGGAAGCCTTCAATATTACTTTCAAAATGCTATGAAAAAACATATTTCAAAGTTTTCTATGTAATTCTTTAAGTGAATTTATAGGCCATAGCTATAAAAAATAAATACCAACACACTATAACTAAATGAAAAATCACTTCGCACCATAGATTTTATTCTAGAAACAAAGCTATGCATAAAATAACTCTCTGTAAACTGGATGAAATCTCAGTGCACCACTGGTTTCCTGACTGTGTAGTTATAATCTTCTTCCCTCACATGAAGACAGTTTTACTTTTTGAGTATACTGTTTGAGCAAAAGGTATAATAATGCAATACCACTATATAACTAGAAAACTTAGAAATAAATTTATAATTTATTAATATCAATATTGATATGTCTATATATACTTACAGGTAGACTTACAGTCACATATAATGACATATTTTTCAGCCCACAGACAATGTTTAACATATATGGATCAGTGGAAATACAGCAATGTCTCAGAAAAACCTACTTGGAAGCCTCAGAGTTCGAAGATCTAGAGTTCAGTAACTATGCATTACAGAAAACTAATTTGAACAGAAGTCTTATTCTAGATTGAACTGTTAAATCTATGAATCACCTTCTAAACAGTTATACATTAGATTTTCTTAAGTAGGATATGGCTGCTTTTATAGCTGATTATTAACATTTCTTATTCTCAATTATAATGATCTTCACAGATATTTCTAACATTTGTATATGTTCTTTTTCTGCTCAAATTATATCTATATATTTGAAAATAATCTGTATTAGTCAAAATTATTTTTGTTTCTATATACACTAGGACTAAGGCTTACCTGAGGGTAGATTAAGAAAGCTGCCAGAAACAAAATAAGCATGGATAAATAATGATGATTATATTATACTTTTATCTGCCTGCCCCAGAAAAGCTCTCTCTTGACTAGTAAATGTCCCAAGCCTTTTTATGAAGACATTCTGACTGGCAGAAGGGGGACTGACCAGATGATCTCCAAGGACCTTCCCACTAAAGAACTTCAGTATCCATGGTCTGAATTTATGGTCATACTTTGCCTTATCTTTTTATATTTAATGTTTATGTCATGATACTTAAATATGAATATTAATTATATTTACTGAAATCACAGCCTACAGTTGACATTTGGGAGATGTATGATAGTAGAACAAAACTTTCAATCTCATTGTCATAAAATAATAAACTTCTAATTTTGCCTTCCATAATATGTTTTCTTTCTTTGGCATTTTCAAGTGAATTTATAATTTTCTTTTTTCTTTTTTTTTTGCAAATTCTAATGCAATCATCTTTACTGAAATTTAACATCAGGTGTTTAAAGTACCAGGAGCTTTATTGCCTCCTAAAATTTGCAAACACATGATTAACATCAACTTATCCATTGTCTTCCAACTGAAAAGAATCACTCTTACCGTGTAGCCCTCGGTATACTGAAAAGGAGCCCTGGAACTTTCGTCTGCTGTTGGACTCAGAGGCTTGGGGTCAGACATAGAACGCTGCATCATCTTGGCTGTCTTAGGACTTGCTGGGGGAACTTTAGCCATATCTGGATGCAGTACTTTCTGTGGACTTATATCATCAGGGAGGGGTTTTTCATAAGGTACAAAGGCTGATTCTAAGGCTTTGCCTGGTGAAAGTGGTGAGATGGGTGAATAAAGGACTTTTGGGGATTTGGGTGGGGAAGGAGCCAGCTGTAGTGTGGAATCTGCCCGGAGGTGAGATGAATAACCAATCTCTAAAGGTGTTGGGCGTTTCTTGTCTTTGGGTGGAGATGTGGCACTCAGATATTGAGGACTTTGTGTGTCTGAATCTGCTTCTGTTTGACATCCTAAACTGCCCCCTTTGTAAGTCTTTTCAGGTGCTGAAATGTGTTTAATTATTTCTACCTTGGCATCCACTCGTGCCCGTATCGAAGGTGTTCTTATGGTTCCAACTGGTTCGGTTTGCACAGATATCTCTGCTACCGTTTGAACTGCTATGCTGGAGACTTTGGAAAGGGGTTTGGTCTTGTCAGCTTCTGTCGTGCTGTCACCATATTTCCCTCCACGAGCTTTCCTCCTTGATCTAGTAGGCATATCCCATTCATCCTGATCTTCATCATCAGTTTGGACACTTGTATCAACACTCTTTTTAGTTCTCCTTCTCCTACTTGCATAACTCCGATCTGCAGCATCTTCATCATCAGTTTGTACACCACTGTCCACTATCTTTTTAAAACATCGAGGATCATCTACCATACTTTCCCCCATCTCATCATACTGTCCTCGGACTTTAGCTCCCGAACTTCTCTTTTTGGGTGGTTTTTCCTCTTTTACAACAACATCTGTTAGAGGTATTTCTGAAACAGTGCTCAAGATGCCGGGCGGGGCAATGTACTGAGTAACACCATCAGACTGAACTGTGTACCACCCTTGGCTTTGTGGTATTTCAATTGCCACAACAGCTGAAGCTGTAGTGGTTGCATCTTCAGTTGTCCAAAACTGACTGCCTTCTTGGGCAGCATACTGACCTTCCAAAATTGCCTGTTCTGTAGTGGTTTGTGGAGAAGCAGTTCCAGAAGGGTCATAGTTATACTGGTAGATCTGGCGAATCTTTTGCTCCTCTAGCTGCTGGTGAAGCTGTTGTTGCAGCTGTTGAATCTGTTCAAGCTGTAACTGTTGCTGAGCTAATGTCTCCTGCCTCATCATGTACTGGGCTTGCCTCTCTTCTTCTTGCTGATAGAGAAGGTGCTGTTTCATAGACTGCAGCTCCTCCAGCTTTTTTTGGACCATGATCTTTTCTTGTTCTCGGAACCTTTGAATTTCCTGACGTTCCCACTCCAATTCCTCAGCAAAGCGCTGTTGCTTAATTTTCTCCAGTTCCAAGAGCTCACGCTCCAAGTCTAGCTGTTGTTGTTGTTTATCTTCTTCAGGGACAATTACAAGAGTGCTTTCATCTCCCACCACTTCAGAAAACACTTCAGATGCTGTGGTTAAAGAGGGAACAGAGTCTATTGTCTCAGCAGTAAGAGTTTCCATAGTAATAGTTTGCAAACCAGCATTGATATCAATACCAGTCACTGCAATGTCTGTTTCAGATGCACCTGTTGTTATAAAATATGATCTGGGCATTGGCTGGCTCTGGTGCAGGGTGGATAATGGAGTCACTGCATCAGTTGTGTGAATACCAGATAAGTCCCTCACAGTGGTGCTGAAAATGGAGCCAGGTTGTGTGGTTATAGCAAATGTGGAGGGTATTGGAGTTGCTACTGAAGAATAGACAACACCATTAGATGACCTCAAAACACTCCCCACACCATACTGGGGTCCTGGAGGTGGTGTCATTCTTGCTGTGGAATACTGCGGGGTACTAATCCCAACTCCTGAAATGATTTGTCGTGTTTCTGGATATGGACCTGTAGTCTTGCTTGAATAATCCATTACCTCACCTGAAATACAGGGCAGAGTTATAGTCCAGTTCCCAGAATGAATGATGCTTTTTGGGTTTGAAAGGCCTGTCATCTTGATGAACATAATGAATGGGACTGCATGCAAATCCACAGGTTAACCTAATTAGATGCGGAATAAAAGCAATGTTGAACATGCAGGCACATGCAGATGACTTTGAGCAGAATAAATTAAAAAAAATGAAGAAATAAAAGCGCATATGTATTCCAAAATATGTTGCCAAAACATCCAAAGAAAGAGAAAAAAAGTAACAAAATTGGAAAAGGGACCACATTTTCATCCTGAAATGAGATGAGGAACACCATAATGACATTTCAAAGAAAGGTCTGCTGCCACATCATACTGACCTGTAGTAATTCTCCCTGAAGTTAGATCTACTGCTGCATCAGTTCCTTCAGAATAATCAAAAGCATTCTTACTTTTATAGAAAAAATGTCCAGCTTCCGCTAAATTAGTGTCAGACATGGAAGGTTTAATTCCCCCAACCCCTCTATACCCATATGTCCCTGATCTATCATATTGATAGTGGTCATCCCTATAACCAAAACGATCCTCAGGAAGAGTAGTTGCAGGTTGCTGTGCTGTGCAGCTCCGTCCAAATGGTAATTTATAAACCACATCACAGCACACAGCTCTTCTTCCTGCAGTCAAATCAACAGGTTTTTCATCATCTTCTATTATTTTGGTCATCACACTTGAAGTAGATTCATCCATTGTTACGACAGTTCTATGAGATTTGGTTGTACTGAGATCCACTACTTCCCCATCAGTGATCCCCTGGGATGTGGCACTATCAGTCCATCCATTTGTGACACCAACGGGAGGCACAGTGACAGGTTTTGTAACAGCCAATGTTACTGCATGTGCTGGAGTACCTAGAGATAAGTTTATTGGTGCTTCCTCCCTAACTGTAGGAATGGCCTGGTCGCTTGGTATCATGTATGGAGGCTCAGTGTGCTTTGATGTAGTAAGCTGGAGTGGTGTTGTCATTGCATGTTCTACACCCACTAGGCTTTCTGTGCCTGTAGTGTAACTTGCACTAGCTGTGCATGTGACAAAGGTCACTGTCTCAGTGACCAGGGATATAGGAGTCACTACTGAAGTTGCACTGAGATTTATAATAGAGGGCTGGACAGCACTAATTTGTCTCCCATAAATTTCATTTGTTGCTATATGCCTTTTCATATCCATTGTAGAGGCAGAAAGATCCACACATTTTTCAGTTGTCTTAACTTCTACTTTCGGTACTGTACGCAAATCAATGACATCACCAACAAGTTGTAATTTTCCATCTTCTTTATACTGGGGCTTCTCTAAATGTAGGTTATCTAGAGCAAGAGGCTCTGGAGGAATTGATATAGAGATACTGCTGAGATCAACACTAGGAACTGCACTTCTGGTTGCTGAAACCTCAGCCTTGGAAACTTCTGTTGTCAGAAACTGTGTAACTGAAGTAGGGGCTGCATGAAATGAAGACAGTGCTGTGACAGGGGCAGCAGGAAATGTCTCCAAAGCTTTAGAGATGTATACAGTCTGGTCTGAAGAACTGGGAATTTCTACAGTTGTCATAGGAGGAACTACAGAAAACACCGGTTCAATGGAAACCAGATCTTTGGAGGGTGATCCCAGGGGCCAACTAGTAATTACTTGGCTAGCCGAAGAATCCGTTGGTGTCCCAGGTTCAGATGGCAATGTAATAACCACGTAAGTTTCCATCAGGGATTTGGAAAACCTCGGTGAGGACTTGTTAGAGTGTGGGGAAAGTGGGGAGGTGGGGGAAGGCAATTTATAATCTTCTGAAGTCACTAAATTTAAGGTCATACTTGAAGTTAAAGATAGGCCTGTTGGTTTGGGGTGTATATCTGTTGATTTTTGTGTAGTTACTGGAAGCTGTGGAACTGATGGTTTGGGAGCAATTGGAGGTTTGCTTGGCTCAGGCCTATGGGTAAATACAAGTCCAGATGGAATTAAAGATGGCTTTGGAGGAACAGGAGGAGGTGCAGTGGTACATATTTTTGTTGCAGGTAACCCAACACTCCTTGGAACAGCTGTAGTCTCTACAGTAGTAACAGCATCAAACAGAGGTGTCACTGTAGTAGCTAGAGTCACTGGAGTTGTAACTGTTAATTTTTTTTTAGGATGAATAGTTGGTTTAGGTGAAGTTGGTGGAGGGAGTGGTGGGGGAGGAGGAGGGGGTGGAGGTGGGGGAGGAGGAGGAGGTGGAGGTGGAGGAGGAGGAGGTTGAGCTGATATGTCCACAGAAGAACTTCTAAAGAATGGACGAGTTTTAGCTGGAAGAGCAGAAACAGAAGGACCGCCAGATGGTAATGGTTTTTCCTGCCCAAAGGTCTCTCCAGATATAAAGTATGTAGTTGAAAGCTGCTCCTCCACTGGAAGGGCTATTACAGAAGAAGGTGCTTGATCAAACACAGTTTCAGATAAGCTAGTTTTTGTTGGTTCAGCCTCAGACTCCTTCTTTTTATCTCTATAAGCTTCCAAAACTTCCAGAATAATTTCATTCCCCATTTCCTTCTTGTCTTTTTTCATTGGATCTTTTCCAGATATAGATAAGTCAGTGGAAATAGTGTCAGCAATTGTTCCCTCTGTAGGTTTAGTTCCTACAGATTCTATGATAGAAGGTGCCACATCAGATAAAGAAATCACAATATGATCAGCACTAGCTCTACCATCTGGTGTGGTAGTCCTATCTAAAGATACACTTATGTCTTCTGGATAGTCTATAATGCTGCCTGGAAAATAAGTTGATGAAGAAATTTCCTCAGAATCTTCAAATTTAGTTATTATGTCCACGGGCTCTGTATAAATTGTAGTTATGCCATCCAGGGTAGTAACAGGTGAGGAGCTATCTGTGGTAGAAACTGAAGAAACAGATGATGTGAGAGAAGGTGTGTCAGAGGGTGGGACAGATGTAGCACTTTCTGAAGGCTCAGAGTAGGTCAAAATCTGTGATTCGTGGGCAATTATCTCTTGAATTTCTCTTGTATAATCAGTTACATATTCATCCTCAAGTTCTTCTGTTGAAAAATGTTGGGTTATTTTAACATCGGGGATAGAGAGTGTTGCACTGCTTGTCGAATCTGTAAGAGACGCTCCGGAAAGAACACTTGATGTCAAAGATGCATCAGGAACCCTGTCAAAGTCCATGGTGGACTCTGTCATATCATCGCTGATAGGAGGCTGGGTTGGGCTGGATCCAGGTGTTACCTGTATCTGTTGTCTCTTCATAAGTTCCTCATAGGCAGCATCAGCATCTAGTAATTTTTTTTCTTCACTTGTAGAAGACACCATAGTACCCAGATCCACTATCTCATGGCTTTCTGGGATGATATAAGAGCTTGAAACAATGTCTTCTTGAGGAACAATGGAATGTAAGCTTTCTAACTCATAGAACTCTTTCTGTAGATCTGTAATTTTCTGCATAGGATCTTCATAAATCTGTTCTGGAAGTCTTATTTTTTGCTCTCTTCCTCTCTGTTGCATAAATCCATTTTCTTCTTCTTGCCTTGGTAGCAGATTGCCATCTACTGATCCATTGTATGTATCTTCTACTAAAGATTCATAAATATAATCCTCTATTAACATCCCACCATACAAAGGCTCTTTTTCAAACACTTCATCTCGTTCATTTGCAGCTGGAAAAGCTTTGTATTTGTGTGTTTTATGCATCATTTCTTCATACATCTCTTCAGCACTTTTTAATGCCTTTTGATCACCTTCTTTCTGCATAATAGATTGCTCATCAGTTGGTGAGTATAAAGACACAGCTGTGGGCAATTTATAAACTTTTTGTACTTCTATTATTTTTTCTGGGCTTATTTCAAAGCCTTCTGGGTCTGATTCTATGCTAGGTGAATATTCAGAACAAGACGATCTGTGGAGCTCCTCCATTTCTGCAGCCTGACGTAATTCTTCTGTTGGAGATGCATCTTCAATGGGAGAGAGATTACTGGGTGGTGTCTTTGGTCTTTCCCTCCTTCTCTGAGCTCGAAGTTCATCTTTGTCTTTCTTTGATTTTTTACTAGAACTCTTTCTTTGCTGCTGTTCTAATTCCCGCTGCTTTTCTTGCTCTTTTAATAATTCTTCTTCCTCTCTCAATTCTTCTTCTTCTGAAGAATCTTCAATAGTAGGCAAAAGAGGGCCATGTGTTCTATGCCGAGCTTTGCGTTGCTGTTTGCTTTCTCCTTTTTTGTGACTTGGGCTACTGTCACTGTCTTCATCAAGTGATGACACGGAGGTAGGGGATGTACCAGGAGTGAAGCTGGAAGCATGAAGACTTGAAGATCCTTCTCCTCTTGACCTATCTTCTGGTGAGTCTGTCAGGCTTTCCATTTCTAATTCTGGCTCTTCATCAAAATACAAAGTTGTTTTTTTCTGTGATGATTCTGCAGAATATTTATCAGCTATTGTACTGTTGAGTTCAATTGTTTTAAATCGACGTAGCCCTCCTCCTCCAGCAACTACAAGTTCTTCACTTTCCTGACTTTTAGTTTCTCTGTATTTAAGTTCAGGACTTTCATCAAATGTTTCATCATCTTCATCATGCCACGAATGACGCCTCCCTGCATCATCATCGATGCTTGCACTACTTTTTCGAGTCAGCCGTCTGTGTTTCCCTGCTGTTACTTTCCCTTTCCCTTTTGTTTCTTCCTTCTTCTGGCTCTCAGTACTACTGCTAATCTCTTTGAGCTGGTTCCTAATAAACTCATCATCCTCAGAACCTGAAGCATCCTCATCAGCACTCATTTCTATGATTTGTTTTCGAATGAAGTCCTCCTCTTCCCCCGATCCTTGACTATCTTCCTGTTTATACTCATCACTGCTTGATGAACCAACACTAGTTCTCCGTTTTCTCTGTGGAACAGGTGAGTTTTCACTTTCGCTACTGTCTTCAACAGAATCATACGGCTCTCTTCTTGCAGTTATGTCATCAAGAAACTCAGGCTTTTCTTTATGGTCCTTGCTGGAAGGAATGCCTTGTTGGCTATCTTTTTTAAAAGTGTCTTTCTTTTCTTCTTGACTCTCCTTGAGCCCCTCTTCTGAAATAGCAATTTCCAGGGTTTCAGAGAAAATCTGAGTTTTCTGTTGGTCGTTAGGCTTCTCAGGAGAAAGCCCATGGGGTGGTGTTTTCTTTTCTGACTGTTCATCAACGAGAGTACTTGCTTGAGCTTCCAAAATAGAGAGGACCGTACTTTCTAACTTAGCCAAATCTGAGGGGCTAGAAGGGCTGCTTTCTTGTGAAAAAGAGTCCTTTTTGAGTCCCTTGAGAATATCCTTCTCATCACTCGGAATAAGACTTGGAATTTCACCAAGCGAACTTGATATGCCATCAGAAGAATATCCTGTGTCGCTCAGACCTTGTGGACTTTTAGGCTGCTGAGAACTTGAGGTGTCTGATTTGTCATCTTCCTTTTCCTAGCAAGGAGGAAAAGATACAGGAAAACTTAACATGGTTGAACTAAAAACATGGACTCTCTATTACTCTC